TCCAAGAGAGGCTGATGTGAAGGTAAGGCTATCTGCATTTTTAAACCCTCCAGCAAGTTTAAAAGGAAGAAGTCACATTTTCACTGACAGCAGAAGATAAAATTAGCAAAGGAAGGAATGAAGTGACAGTAGACTAATCTAACAAAAACAAAAACAAAACAAAACAAAAAAAAACAAAAACAAAAAAAAACATAGGGAAAAAACAAAAGAAAAAGAAAAAAGGCTCATACAGAAGTAGTAAGAGGGAGCAGCCACCTAGTTTGACTCGCAAAAAGAAGTGAAGAAAGTCAAGCCATAAAGAAGACATGCATAAGAATTCAGCTATGAAATTGTGTCTGAAACACTTCCTTCTGCTTTCCTCTCCTGCACAAGAAAGAGGCAGAAAGAACACACTTTAAAGCTATCATAGAAGGTTCACATCAAAATACCCAAAACTACCCTCAGGAGGACATTATATATGCATTCCCCAAGGTACGATGCATAGGAGCAAGATTCTTTAAAGAAATTTTTTTTAAAGAGATTTTTGCCAGGCCTAATTAGCATTCATCAGCCTGTCTTTTGGAGATGCAGGGCACTTGTGCAGCCTGCATTGTGGTTTTGGCAGAAACCAGCTCACCTGGCCCCTGCAGCTGACCTGGTGTTGAATACCATGGCCAGCAATGGGTTTCCCCTCTGTCTCCATTCTGTGTCCTAACTTTCCAGTAAAACCAACCACAAAATCTCTAACAGGATGTTGAGCCTTACGAGAAAAACATGAATTCTTCATTGAACCTGGACTTAGATGCTTATTTTGAAATCTCTGGATATCCTCTAAGCAGTCTGTGATTGCACTTTCTCCTCCAGCACATTCCACTAGTCACCAGTGGATGCCAGCTCTGCAAAGCCCAATCTTTTTATATAGCTGTCTGAAGGCAGGAGTATAGCACTTGCTGACTTCACAGGACCCAAACACTATGCACAATCCCCAAGCTGAAAGAGAAATGCCATTGTTCTTCACATATATTTGAACTACAGCTCCAGCATGGCCAGTAGCCTAGTTTGGTTAAGTTGTTCTGGCATTCTCACATCTCTCTTGTTTTTATGATTCTGCAAACAGGAAGATTTGCACCTGCACATCAAAGAGAAGTCTTTTCAGGCATAGTTAAAGGTTAGAGTGAACTTACACAGATGTATTCTAGCAAACCCAACCTGTTACACTTTAACCCTTGGTCATCAGCATCTAGCAAATATTTACTCAATTGAAATTACAGTGCAAAGGTTTCTGCTGAAAGAAGCAAGATGTCAACAGGGATGAAATGCAAGTGGAGGAAACAGGTACACATAGTAGAAGTTTGTTTTTTTAAAAAATAAATGTTTTGAAAATGAAAATGCTACTAGTCACTACTAGTGACTGTTTTCCAAGTCTTTGAGCCTTTTGCATTATGTTATCTTTTCCAGTTGTTTCTTTCCATGCCAAACCTGAAGCAATATGGTAGACACTTCTAGGTCCCTTATAAAGCAGTAGCAATGAAACTGCAGATCACCCAATAAACGTTATGTTACCCTTCCACACTAGAATACATTCAGGGTACCCGGAGATATTTATCCCATCAGAGAGCACAGGTCTAGGAAGCATTACGTTGTTGCAGAGGACAGACTGCTTCATGAGGAAATGTACACTCTCTGCAGCTTTTTTTTTCTTCTTTTATGACACTTCAGGGGAAGAGCCAGAATGCCAAAATCCTTTTAAGTGACAACTGCAAACGATCAAGACACAAACGTAGAACACTGTATACAGTGCCTCTAAGTTTGTTTACATTGGCTTAGGTTCTAGCCTGTAACTTTTTAATAGCAAAATTAAAAAAAAATAATAATAATAATAAAAAAAAACTACAGTATTTGCTGCCGCAGCAATAAATTACACTGTTCACTGTTACAACACAATCAAGAACTTACTCTTTTAAACGTTGAAGTCTTCAGCATTTATTTTTTTGATCTCTCACCTTCCAACTTCTCCCACTCACAATACGTATTTAACATTTCTACCTCTCTGTGCCCTTGGATAGTACTCACCTCTTCCTTGCCACTGTCTGGCACCCTGCAATAGACATCTCCCGTGGCTGGATTATAGGAGTCTATGTAGGAGGAACAGGGAACAAATTTGCCAGCTATAAAGTTTTCCAGCACTAAGAGAGCCTTTGAGTGAGCCATTGCTAGCTGCTTGCTTCATCAGCGATTTTTTCCTAAGAGGTGTCAATTTAGATTTGTAGTTCTGTAAGTATTTGCACAGCAAGTTTGAACTCCTCCCCTCTCTCTCCGTCTTCCCTGCATTGCTCTTTCATAAGTCAGATGAAACTCTGGCAACAACAGAAACAAAGAGTAAAGAGGGAAAATTCTTATTTCTGTGACTTCCCCTACCCCAGGAGCTGAAGCAGGGAGGCAGGATCAGATTAAGATCTATGAAGAGAGTTCCTCTCTCTTTGTGAGGGGAAAAAAAAAAAAAAAAAGCACTGAAGAAAGGGAGAAAAACAGTTGCCTCACAGGAAAATTTCTCCCTGACTGTTTTTCAAGCTACAGTCTGCAGAAAGTCCTTCTGCAACAGCTATACAAAAAATAAATAAATAAATAAAATCAAGGTTCAAATACTTAGCTAGGGACTTACTCCTTCACATCAGTAAACAGAGAAAAGATGCTTGTACTAGCTTGTCTACTGCTCACGTTTACTGCTTTATCATCAGCACTTGTCCTTGTTACCTCCAAAACAATAGTTCTGCTAAGACACTAGATTTTAAACATAAGAAACTCAATATTTTCCTCAAACTAAGCAATACAAAGGGTCACTAAGCGAGTGACCCTTCAATTAAAAACAGCTGAGAAGCACAATCCTGCCTGGTACAGTTCACGGCATGTTGTCAGAAATCCACTCTTTGAAAAAGAACAAGACACCTGCTTTCATGTTTTGTCTTTCCTACCTATTCCATTGGAAAGTATCTTACTATAGAGAAGCCTGTTATATATAATTAAGTTTTGCTTCAACTTCCCAAGAACCTCAACGTTCCAGTAACAGCTGTCTCAAATATATTTTACTCCAAGGAAGAATGCTTAAGACTATCAAATGGCTCTAATATTGCATGTTATCTCTTTGCACTCCACATTTATTCAAACTGCTACATCCATATTGAAGAGCAGAACGCCTATTTCTTCTATGAAGAAAGGCTCAGAGAGGTGGAGATGTTCAGCCTGGAGAGGGAAGGCTCTGGGATGACCTTACTGCAGCTTTTCAATACTTAAAGGGGGCTTATAAAAAAGATGGAGAGCAGCTTTTGGCTTGGGCAGACAATGACAGGACAAGGGAGACTGGTTTTCAACTAAAAGATGGGAGATTTAGATTAGAGGTTAAGAGGAAGTTTCTCTCAGAGGAGATGCACTGGAACAGCTTGTCCAGAGAAGTTGTGGATGCCCCCCATGGCAGGGGTGTTGGAACTAAGCGATCTTTAAGGTCTCTTCCAACCCAAGCCATTCTATGATCACCAGGAGATTGTGGACATCTCAGTCAGCAGCCTAGCAAGGTTTTGAAACCTAGACCACTGCCAAGCCATAAAATTTCTTGTGGATCAACACAAATCTTGATTGAATAAAGGTGATATGGCTCTGTTGCTCAACAACAGATCTTCTATTCGTCAACCAATTGGAGCCTCTGGGGAAGGGTTCAAATCAGTGTCGAAAGGTAGCGCAGTCATGTTGAAACTGGATTAGGTAATATCTCTGGCTCTCCCAGGCTATGCAGGGGGAAAGCTTTTCTGCAGTCACAGAATACAGAGTAGCAAAATTTATGGCAACTATGTGTGAGAAGGGTTATCAGAGGTTCATTCCATATCACACTTCCTTGTCTACAAGCAGCAAGGAACATACCAAAGTCTTAAAACGGAAGACACATTCTTCTGCTGGCAGTACCTCAGAAATAAACTGACGTAAAATCAACCTTAACATTTTCTAGGACTGAACACAAGTTCAAGTGGAACAGGTTCAAAACAGGAGCTTGGCAGTATGCACTTCTAGAATCTTACAAATGCACTGAAACATTCATGATTGACATGTTGAAACTGCTGCATATTTAAACGCAATTTCTGGACTATGAGAAGACGTACTAAGTAGTGATATATCATAAGCTTCAGTTTTGGCAATAACAGTTTTCAGGTATTCATTTGATTTGGCATTATTCATTTGCACATAAAGAATCTCTTGATACTTCTACAGACATGCATGCAGCAAGGAATAAAATTTATATATGTGGTTAAGTATATCAAATACCTACTGAACTGGGGCTAAAGCATGCAGTTACAAAACAGGTTGCCTTTCACTTGTGTGGAAAGAGTAGGTATGAACCAGCACAAATGCATGATTTTGAACAAAATAACAATCATAGCTTTCTTGTGTTTACTATGCAGAACACAGCTTTACAGGCTTCAGTTAAACCAAGTGACTGATGCATTCAGTTGAGTACTCTAGTTCTTCCCCCCACACTGTGATCTAACCAGAGTTCTTTCCATGCTGCGGCTGTGTACATTTCCAGGAGTTCCTGAGGACCTCTCACAAAAAAAACCCACACACCTTCCAAACTGTGGTAAAGGGGAGTTGACCCAAGTTTATTCTGGAGATGGCAGAAGAACTCTACAGAACTCTCATCAGTTGGGTGGCTTCACCTGCCCTCTGCCTGAAAAGTGGGAAGGAGTTACAGGCTTCAGTAACCAGAACAAGCTGGCTTCAGCATATATCTCAAGATTGTACTCCCAGCTTTTGTTCAAAAGAGTACTATATCTGGGTGAAAAGGACGTATACGCACAGCAGCTGCACTAAGAAGCAGCAGGAGAAAAGCTGAAATTTTTTCCAGAGAAAGTCAAGCCACTTGCCAATTTTGCACTTTAGTTTGAAAGTTTACATTGAAATTTATGAACTAGGGAAAGCAAAGAAAGATGTAAAAGAATTTAGAAGTGCTTCAATAAGAAAAAAAAAAGTCAAAATTATGCTCTAAGTTATTTTATTAATTTTACATTTTAAAAAATAAAATTAGCCAATGTTGGCACAGCTTCCACTACACAGCAAAAGAAACTCTTTTTTTTTTATTATTTTTAAATAAGTTTTGGGACAGGAAAAACAATCCTGGGACAACACTACATGCCAGTCTCTTGGAACCAGAGTAGATAGTTCTTTTTTTCCCTGAATATGCATTCAATTCAAACCTCAAAATATATTAGACCAATAAAGTTACTTTACTGAATTAATGTGCAGCAAAAAAAGCAAATCAAAGAAAATATGTAAACAATTTATGTCTGGAAGTAAGAAGTTTGTTTTGTGATGATTCACCACTTTTTTTTCTCTAATTCAACTTTCTAACATTTTTCCATCAAGCTCTTTAAGGGGTAAATTCCACATGGAGTAATACATGGACTCTTGTGATCACTAAGTGCAACATTAGCAACTTCTTGTCAGTTGGCGTCTTGTTCTGTAATGGGAGAGACTGATGAAGGGCTCCCCAGAAGTCTAACACAAAGTAACTTTTGTCACCATCTTCTATCCCCAAATTAATTGCACTTGTTCCTTCAGCTGAAGTAACTGGATTCTTAAACAGATGTTTGGTTATCTGATTGCATTTTGGTTGGATTATGGAAGTCCTGGCACCACTGTCATTCTTTAATCTAAAAATAAAAGCAAATGAAAGAAAAACTGGTGAAAAATGAAGTACTAATTGTCAAATGATCACCTCTTTTTAACATGGTACTGTTAAACATGGGAAAAATAACTTCTTTTGCTCTGAAATTCTCTAGAACAAGTTTACAAGGACTAAAGCAGTTAATATCTAAACAACAGTTTAGTCCCCAGTTCCACAAATACCAGACATCATAGATCTAAGTATCACCCTACTCACTTCAAAATACAAGTTAGTAATAATTACAAGTTCAAATTAGTAAGAGAGGGGGGGGGAGGGTGAGAGAGAGAAAGAAGCCCTCATTCTGGATCCTACTTAAAACCAGATACCATTAAAGCATCATAAAGCAGAGAGCCTCTGGCAGACCAGAGAGAAGCCCAAAATTTTCAAGCTCTAATTGCACATTTTGACATTAAGCGACTTAGCTTTAAGTGTCAGTACCAGAACTTGGTTAATGTGACTAAATTTCTCTCCCTCAGGTCTAGAATTAGAATTTAAATCATAATTTTAAGATCATAGCAATATTTTTTTCACGTGACAGATAAAGGGACATTTTTATTTTTTGCTCCTAATACAAGGAGCAAACTTCCTTGTAAACTTCCCCACAACTTCCTCCCACTTACACGATTGGAAAAAGACTAATGTATACTAAAACTGTGAAGAGCTATTTTTAGCTACTGAGAGGGGAAAAAACATACGAGATTCAAAAGTTAGAAATAGATAATTTTGTTTTTTATTAATAAATCGAACATAACTATGGCAAGTTTTCCTTATACCTTTCTGAAGCCTGGCCTCTTTTTCAGCAAAATAAATTCACTTTTTAAAAGTTAAAGGGTGTAAAATCAACTTTGTTGTAGTCATAAAAAAATAAACGCTAAATGAAGTCAACACTATTCCTTTAGAGTACAGAAATTCCACTATAACAATGACATACCTCTGTGACAACTCCTGCAGCAATAGTTGAACCACTGTAGCGTAACATAAACCTCCCAAGCTCTTTAAAATCTTTATACAACTCTAGAGCAACAGGCCTTTGAGTCTGTAGTTCTATTAAAGCATTCTGGCCTTTGGTCAGGAACCTGAAGGTAAATATGGAGACAGCTATTAGAAACATATGCATGTATAAATGAAAACAAGAATAGTGAGTAAATGGAAAAAAATAAACTTGTAATGCCAAAAGTATAATGATTGAACTTGATTTCAAGTGTAACCCACGGAACCAGACTGAAAACTCATTCATCTGGAGCACACCTATTAAAAAGGTATCTGATTTTAATTTTAAAGCTTCCAGAGAAGGTCATCCACTGCAACATTTAGAAAATTATTTAGGATTTAATTATCCCATTAGCACCTGGTTTTTACATCTAGGAGAAATCAGTCTTGTTTTAAACCCAAATCCTAACACTGAAGATCCAATTCATTATTCTGTGGAAGTCATGACTTTTCTTCCCATTACTTTTCAGTAACAGTCTGAGCCATGCTATTTCTGGAAAATGATTATTCTGATAATGTTGCATATATCAAACAACACCTCTATCCAAATACAGCTTTAAATAACAAGAGCAACGTTCCCATAGTTTAACTTGTATGGGAAGATTCTCTGTTTTTCTCTGATTGACTGTGTAGAAGAATTTACTTTAGAAAGTAACCCATATCCAGAATTGCAACAAGGTTCGCACACTGTTTCAGGAAGAAAAGAGATAATTTTATGTCATTTTATTTCTCAGGTGCTCAGCACTCATTAAGTGGGAATAAAGTTTTTCACTTTGAAAAGCACTCTGAAATCTAAACATGAAACAACTATAACAATGAAAGTATATTTTTATGTCCTTATAAACATATTATTGCTTCTTAATAGAACCTTCTTGCTACCAGTATTTTAACTAAAAATCAGCCCATTTCTTGTATAATCATTAGCTATTTAAAACACTTACTTAGGCTTTTTCTTTGTCACTTCACCAGTGCTTTTGTGCAGGACACTCAATAATCTTCTAATAGTAGCAGGTTCACTTACGGTTTGATAGTGTAAAAGCACCTAAAAATATTTTTTCAATTATTAAATATTATAAAATAATCAGAAATCCTAGGTGTTAATACTTGAAAATATCAACTTTCTTTAAGAGCGATCTTTAAAACAAATTCTTATAGAAATCCTCTCACAGGAAGAGTTACTGTATTCGGGAACTTACAAAAGTAATTTCCTACACTTTGTGTTCTCTGCCAATATGACAAAAAGGTCATGTATTAGTTCATCATAACTACATTTATCATTCTTCAGTGTTTTGCTTGTGTCATGTCATTGCAGTTGCGTAGCATGAACTGATTCCCCACCCCCTTACCCCCAAGGTATCTTATAATCAAATGCATCATTATAGTCCTATAGGGTACGTGCTTTCAAAAGAACTGCCTAGCCTGACTGTGGTAGAACAACATGTTCTCTGAAATGCTTAGGTAGGGATCAGAAGTCAGTAAGAATGTGCATAAGCAACCCTAAAGCACCGTACATCCTCTTCAAATTGCAGGAAAAATGAGATTCTGCTTGAGGGAGGGAAGTACATCTGGACAATAAATGACTCTGTATTAGGGGGGTGTGGGAAAGAACGCAGAGAGGAAAAGCCCTGAGCAACCTGCAATGAAAGTAAGAATTTTCAAAGAGACTTACAGGGAATCCTTTAGTGATTGGAACCTCAATATTAAAAATGAGAATCCGAGCTCTGAATCGAGTGCAAACTTTAATGGGCTCCTTGGGATCACAAAATACACAGCCAACACTACGAGAAATGAGAACAAAATTTGACATCTTGATTTAGAAATATTAATTGCTTCACTGGAAAGAAAAACAAAGCAAAGACAACATTTTAACAGTAGCTTGAAAAAAAATAATCAGGAACACTGTATTAAGAACTGTCACCTAATTAATTTCTATACAATGTCTATGCTGTTTTGTGGGCATGCATGAAGAGGTCTGTCTAGTTCAATGAACAATTACATCCATTGCTAATCAGTTTCTAAAAATGTCACCGTTTCCTGTGTGTAGGTACTTTGAAGAATTAGACTTTCATTCAGAGACTAATTGTTCCAGATCAACAGCATGAAATACCTCCAGGTGCTTAAAACTGCAGTGCTGCTGCCTGTAATTTAACCATTTTGTGAATAAATGAACATCATGATCTGGACTCTCAAAATTTAAGCTCTCTCAGCAGCACTCACTTCCAAAGAGCTTTACTTCTAATAAATTGAGTCACAAGAAGGCTGATGCCTTCGAGCACAGGAAGGCTCATTAAGGTAGACTAGACACAGCTTTCCAAGAGCAGCAAATTTTAACCATCTAAAATGAAAGAAAAAATTAATCCCACACAGATAGTGAGTTGCATGATTAAACCTACATATCAGATGTAATCTATTTGCATCAAAATCAAGAGGACTTAAAGTTGTACCTCTTCTTGACAAATCTATTACATCTCCAGAAGAGAAATGACATCAAAGAATTGAATCAAGCCTTTTTCTCCATTTACCAAAGAGAATCACTCACCATTGTGAAATAGAAATACAGAAAAACCCTACTTATTTTCTTTAAAAACAGAGTACAAATTTGCAAACTATCAAGACAAAGTGATTTCCAAACAGAAGCTTGAAAGTTTCATGTTTGAAGTCCAACAGGAATGTAAAAAAAACTGTACAAGTTATGGATCCAATTATCTAGCCTCAATAACAATTGTCACTTACCTAAAAGTTTAAGGCTTAGCGCAAAACCTACAGACTGAAATAGACACAAAATTATTTGCTGTGTCTCATTAAATATGTCAGGGGAAAAAAAAAAAAAAGGTCAACTAAAGAAAAAGCATCTCAATGTGTTGAACAAAGTTTAGCACCAACTTGTCTTGTGAAGTTTTGCCTATTGATATGCAATGGCAATTGTTTGGATGTGTTTTTTAGAATGATTTATGATTTCATAAGCTCTTCAAAAATCTTTTCTTTCATTTACTAATAAGGCTTTATTTAATTCAGCACTTCAGATACCCAAGGAGACAGCTTAAGGAAAAAGGCTCTGAAGGCTGCCAGTGTCAGCACGACATACAACAGCTAACAGTATTCTTCTGAGGTTGCCGTTGTACATATAGCAGATGTTTCCAACGTTTGTACATGCAAGCCAGGTGATATGTATCACTTCGGTTTTAAATATCCTGGTAGCCACATCATTCTTCAAGTAAACCGCTGATTGTTAAGTGTAATAGTTATAAAGCTTTTCATTAAAAACAAACCGTTACTTAGACTGAAACTCCGTTTTGCTCACTTGATTTTGATGATATCCATGCCGGTCAAAGTGAGACTAACGTGATCTCCTGCTGCAGCCCAATCAACTGGTTCATCATGCAGTGTGATTCCTGGAAATGAGTAAGAACAGAACCTCACAGTGAAGTACCTAGGTTCTGGGCTACAAACAAACAGCTCTGTTTGGGCCATTTGTGCTTCATCAACCATTACTCATCAATTTTCAGTATGAATGGGTTGAGAGTAAAAGCTTATTAACTGAGAACACTGAGGAAGCATTTTTTCTTCCTTGGTGAGGACTCACTATTCTCTCACCCCACCCTGCACAATAACATGGCTTTATTTAAGCCAGAAGAGGGGACCTGGCACTTGTCACAGAGCGCAGATGACGCAGTCCTGAAAATGCCGTAGTACTAATATCTCCGTGCCTGCCCCACCCTTCCTTTGAGGCACATGCACACCCTAGACCGCATCTTTCATATACTTTAATGGTACTATGTCAACTTTCATTTACCTTAAGTGGGTTTGCTGACTCTTTCATAAAAAAGCGTAACAGATGCCTTTCGTTCACGACATCGCATCTATTAGAAAGCATCATTGAAAGTCATTTTATTCTGACTTCTATGTATTTTAAACATTTTAAAAGATACCCTGGCTGGTAGGTGAGGATAAAACTAATTATTCCCAATTAAACATTCTGAGGTTTTTGGTAGACACCAAGATTGATATTTCTCAGCAAAAAACACTTCAGAATTACTGCATACATTTTATAGACTCTAGTTCTATTTCACTACAGATTGTATTTATTTATTTGCAAATGTTTCCAAAAACACTTGTCAAAGCCATGCCAGAAAGCATCATTCAACTACAAGCATGTTAAGTACTGCTTTTTAAACAGCGTTGATAATTATTTCACACGTATGTGTCATTCTCACAGAATGATAAATGAAGTACAGTTTCTTGAAAATGAAAAACTGAGATTCTAATGTGCACACTACATTAATATATTACAATAAATTAAATTCTCTCTTCTTTACAATAAATATAAATAATACATGCTTAATGAACTAACACTCCTTATCTTCACCCATATTTTAGCCATATGAGAGGGCGGAACACAAGAAAACCATAGACTTGTACCATTGGGGATTCTCAAACCAAATATGATCCCCCCCAAAATTTTTTCATGCCACTTCCCCCATTCCCAAAACTGTTGGGTGACTATAGCAGTGCAACACCTATTCTTATACACACTATGGTAACGTTCCTGTGCATTGCAAACAAGCATACAACAGTATAAACAGGCACACTGAAGAGCTGCTCAGATTAGCACTGAGCAAGCTGGTTCTGGAACAGAGCAGAATAGTGACAACAGCACACTGCTGAATTCAAGCAAATAGTTACCTATTCATTTATTATAAGGGCTTCATTTTTTACTCATTGATCCATGTAGAAAAATCGCAATTTTATCCTTCTGTTTGCATATAGAACAAAAACAGCTTTGCAGCACAAAGACAGAAAGCTAAAACAGGTGAACGCTCAGTATCTTGACCTAGCTATTTCTCTTTTCAGAAATCAAGTGTATTAAAATTTAAATCCAATTTCCTTCTCTTTTGTTGTTGTTCAGGACAATTATATCCTGAAAGTTTGTATATTAATGAAAGGATTAGTGACAAACCTCATAGAGCAAACAGCATAAAATTAATTCTTATGCTTTTTCACATCTAATTCATAAGATTCATTTCTAAAGGTTGTTCAGCATCTTCACACCTCCTAGCAGCAGTAACACTGCACAGCAAAGCTGAATATTAATGATTCCTGTACTGCATTTATTTATTTATTACAGATATTGCTGTAATTCAGAAGTTTTTAAAGTTTTCTCATAAAACAATGTCAAAATTATAAGACCATAACATCTGGAATATCTGTTATGGCAAAAAAAAGTAAAAAAAAAAACATGCAAGATTTTGCATACTTTTCATAGACATATTTATACAGACACAGTCACATCTAAAGAAATTCGTTTTATGCTTTCACATTTTATGTTTGACAGTTAGTATCAGTTTGACAGTCTGTTACCATTTCGGTAACTGCTTCTAGCCCAGTATGACCTGAAAGTAAACATGCTTCTGAAGACTGTACCTTTTGCAGTGCAAGTTTCATTAGGAGGCATTGCCAGAAGTCGTTCTCCAACTTGAATATAGCCTGCTTCTATTTTTCCAGTCACACAAAATCCTGATCCTTGGTCTGCAATAAACACAGTAATAATTTGAAACAACTTCATAAAGTCAATTTCCCATCACAAGCTAGCCCTTGAGAAATGCATAGATAAGTTTTTAATATAACGAAGGTTTTTTTTTTTCCACTGTAGAGTTCAGTACTTGCAAGTTAGCCAGCTGTGCATCATAGTGAAAATGAAACATTAAATTCAAAACCTCTAGATCTTATGTTTTTGAGAACTAAGGGAGAAATATCCTTCGTTACACAGATGTAGGAACATGAAGAAATATTTTTTAGTTTTTCAATATTAGATTAAGCCCCTTAATTTCTAGGGATTTTGTTTAATTCAGGATTTCCTCACTATAATTCCAAATTAAAAAAATACACCACAGTCATTAAAATTCCCATGTACACAGGTGCAACTTCCTATGTCATTTACTCTTTAACTGAGTCAGAATCCTACATGCTTTGTCTGCATGTTTCTTTTACTCCTAGAAAATAAAAAATAATAATAATTGTGTCCTATTTAACAGTAGTTGTATCTGTGGATGACTTATGCACTTCTAAGTAAAAGATCTGCGATTTATTTTTCTTCTCGAATGTCCACATACCTTACCAATATGTTCATTGATCAGCAATTAATCAGTTATTTTTAAGAGATGTCCTACACATCCACATTTATGCATACAAACCTTAAGAAATTCCCCATCCGTGTAGCGTGTTTGTGGGTGTGTTTAAAAAGAATCCTCTGCAGTGATTCTGCAGACATTTTCAGTATCGATGCAAAAAGCAAATACACCTTTTGTCAAATATTAGAAGCCAGTGATCAGCAAGCATCTTAGTTTTTTAGTGTGTCCTATTAATCTTGAGTCTCATACCACCAGCTCTTTCTTTTCCATTTACCACTATTACTGATTAACATTTCCATCTATCTAGCTGTAAAAATATTACCAGTTTGCCTGTGAGCTAATCTCCTCTATTCATTCCAGCAAACAAGATGAATGCAGTCAATTAGCAGATGACATAGGATGTCAAAAGAATAGAAAATTGGAGAAGTAGATAAAAAAGAATCCACAGATCATGGTACACGTGCCACCTCGATACGGTATACAAAAGAACCTGAAGCTGGCTCTGCAAGCATATGCAGGCAACCAGAATCACGGGTCCTGGTTCCCAACCATCCCTAGACACAATCAAGAGCTAATTTCTCTGTCACACCATCACCAGCTCAGGCTTGGTAAACTAATGTGTTGTTTGAAGCCTTGCCCTTGCACATGCTGATTGTTTCTTGCAGAGTGCCAGCTTCCCTCCCCTCCCCAGGAGATCAATGTGAGTACAAAATGCATAATGGGTGACAGAGTCAGGGCCTAAAAAAGGCCTGATTTCTACACACCATAGTATTTGGGTTCTGCCAGGATATATTTATTGTCCAGAATACTTGGCAATGCTTTCTGAAGTCATGTCAAGTCACATTGTAGACAGCACTATATAATGATGTAAGTGGGGATTCAAGGCAAATGAATTTACAGATACTTCTTGGGTCAAGAGATAACTTGCCTGGAGATAATATTAGGAGAGCTATGGAGGACAGCAGCCAAAACCAGGCCAAGTTAGATTGTGCCCGTGATAACCTTAATAAAGAAAAGAGTTTTCCAAACTATAAAGCAAACTCAGCACTCTCTTTTTTTTTTTTACACACTTCTATGGACCACTTCTCCTGACTATGAATGCACACTGGAATAGAGCTGAGAACAACTGTTGCTTCATGTAGTGGCACCTTCCGCTGGTAGTAGCTTCCATGTAGTAGCTACTTCCTCTGGTAGCATCCAAGTTAAGTTTTGAGATCACATGCTAAGAAAAAAAAAAAAAAAAGTACCTAAAAGGCCACATTTAGTGATGAACCCTTTATCTGTAAATTGAGTTTCTTTCCAAAGCCAATGTTTGTTTGCTTACTTAGCAGGAAAAAAAAAAAAAAAAAAGATTTTTCCAGAGAGCAGATTTAATCAAAATTGCTCATTTTGTGAAACTTAACTCAACACAGAAATGATTATTGCAACAAAAGAGTTGTGATATTATTTTGAAAGATCTCAATCAACAATCCCAACACACTTTCCCACAGCTCACAAATACAGTGACAGCTTTAATGACAAAATTAGCATAACACAACAGGGTAAATTCTTATATAATGTTTCACTATTTACCATTATGGATTCAGTATGCTAAGTAAGCTATCCCAGGGCATGCATAACATGTAGTATTTTCTCAAAGACCCCAATCAGAACATCATGGAAATGATTTTTCCATTTACAATCAGTATTTTGATCCAGTTTATTTGTACTTCCTCTATAAACACCTTATACATAAAGTCAAATTTCTTTTTAAAAATACTGATTTCTATAATATTATTTGATTAATTGTATTTACAACATTTCATATCATGCCTGTCTGTCATTTGGTTTGCAACATTTCTCAAGGTACCTGCAGAAAGCTTCTAACAAGATCAGTGCATTTAACTCAGAAAATATCAAGCCTACTATGAAAAACCTTAATTGGTTAAGGCATTCTATTTTCTCCGGACAATGGACATAAAAATCGGTTATAGTTACTTACTAGTTGTCCATATTTATATCAGTTAGAGAACAGCTAACAGCCTTCAATTTTTTCCTTGGCTGGGTATAAAGTCTTATTAACAGCTATAAAAATGAACCTAAAAGTCAACCCTTTTTTTTTTTTTTTTTTAAATAATCTAGGACTAGAGGATAAAATACCTCAAAGTTGCACCTGCAAAAAATCAGAGAAACATTAGTCTAGTTAAAAAGAAAGAGTTTGGGAAAGAAGAACTTCAAAATCTTGTACACAGAATCACCAACTTATTACATAGCCAATTAGGAAGTTTTTTTGGTTTTTTTTTTTATACACACAAATGTGTTTCTCCTACACTGTTACCACCGAAAATTCCAAAAAGAACAGTGCTTAAGAAATTACTATTCCTGTTCAAGTCTACTGGTAGCTGTAAAGCTCCTATTTAAGCCCTATTTTTATATCATTTTTCAACTTTCGTGTGATAAATAACAATGACATGCTGAAAACATTAGAAAAACAACCAACCTTTAAAAACGTCAGCAACACACAACCTAAATGGTTTCTCTACTGATCTTTGTGGTGGCTTGAAAGAATCTGCAAAGAAATTGATAGTACTTTAAATACAGAAATTCTAAAAGGTCTTATCTCATAAGCATATCACTTAAGGATAAATCAATCATATTGCGTTACAAAAACTTATTCCCACATCTTCCCCAAAACATATATATTTTGGTACACACAAGACTAAGATGTATTTGTTTTTAAATTGTACTCACCAATTTGCTCTAACAAACACTTTCCTGTATACCATTTCGTAAGGTCACTTGACTGACTTCTTGTCACTAGATTTTCACCACCAAGACCACTCGTTGGAATATAAGCCACATCAGATTCCTAATTATGAAAATAAAACAGGATTTATTTACACATTGTTAACAGCATCTTCTAGAAAAAACAAAGGATGCATTTTTCAGTATTACATTTCTAAGATACTAAAAGAACAGTTGGCATATTTTCCACTTCCCCTGGAGAAGGCAGATTACTTGGTGAATACATTTCCTCTCTGTTCATCTCATTCCTCATCACAGTGCTCCAGCAAGGAGTTAAGAGATATTTTAAACATGATGACAGCAACATTAACAACTAGAAACTGAGGTTTGGGTAACAAACTCCAACTCTGTATCTGACAAGCATGCTTCAGTTTGAATTGCTATTTTACGCACAATGATTTCAGGTAGGCTGTCATCAATCCAAATGGTTTGAACTAAGGAAACATGAGAAGTAGAATTAAGAATGGCAAATGGACAAAGGTCTTGTTAGTTCTTAATCCACACCAAGACCTGCTCCAATATAAAACCATCTACTGCCATTCGTGTAATCCTGAACATTGAGTTAAACGATCTTTGGTCTGTCCTGCTTTGTAGAAAACAATCCCAATAGACTAAGCATGATGTGAATTATCCCAAAGATTCAACAGGCCTAACAAAAACGATGACAGAATAAGCAGTAAAGAATTGACTAACCTTATCCAAGGCTCAGCAAGCACCCTACCAGTAAGAAAAGGAATCTGTTATACTACGTGCACATAGTAACAGCAGGAAAGTGATCCAAAATAACCCAACCATAACAACAGCTCATTCTACTCAAAGACCTCAAAGTTACATTACCTTAAAGCCAGCTTGTTTAAGAAATTGGCCAAGCTTACTGGTAATTTCCTGAAATCTTTCTTGCTGCCAATTGACCTAAAATAGAAAACAGTTTATGACAATAAAACTAGATTTCTAATGACAACAAACAACAGCTGCATGTCATCAAGTCTGTAGTACCAGTAGGTGTTCTCACACACAGGACCCAGTGATGTTGTAAATATGAGATTTCCAGGTGGGTTGACAGCTGAATAGGTAAAAGCATATGCATTAACAATTAATGACAGCAATCAACACACTAACTAACTTGCAAGCTCCTTAAGTTTGGTTTGTCCTTAAAGAGCTTTTTTTTGTTTGTTTTGTTTTAATATTTACACAAAACAGAACATTCAGATTTGACAATATCATATAGGACACAGTAACAATCTAAAATGCAACAAGTAATACTTAACACACTTCACAGGTTTAAATAACGTTCTTGGATTTGACCTGAATGACCTCCACAATGCCCTTGCAGATATCAGTGGCTTAGTAGTTTATACCAAATTTTCACACCTATGAGAGGCAATCTCCCTACTCATTTTAGCACCTACACTACCCTTCTTGCATGCTTTGAAAATATAATCATGAATAGGAAGAAAAGTGTTGAAAACTCTGTACAAAAGAGACTAAGAGCTGAGAATCAAAGAAAGAAAAACAAAATATTATTAGTTTCACAATACTGATCCTTACACTTACGGTACACGAGCCTAGGTGAAAGTCCTGCAATTAAATTAAAAAATTAAATAAGTACCTGGTCCATTTTATTGACTGCAACAGCCATCTGTGTCACTCCAAGAGAACGCACTAATAATCCATGTTCTCGAGTTTGTCCACCTGTCTCAAACCCAGCTTCAAACTCTCCTCTGCTGGCATCCACAACCAAAATAGCTACATCAGCCTAGATTAAATATATATATATATAATAATAAAAACACACAATTAAAACTGTGTAACAGGTGGTAATAATTCAAGTAAACATATCAATCAGCAATACTCCACACAGAGTGCACTTTACATGGAAGCAATACTGCTGTGCTTCATATGCAACTGAAATTGTTTAGTTCTATCCATCTCATGCCTACTTTGGTGAGGTATTATGGCACTATGTCATCTAATGTCATACACCACTACTTTATATTAAACATAAGCCAATACTTGGTGTGGGGAACCTGTCTTCTTCAGAGTACCTTTTGTGCTGCACAGACCTCTGCTTAAAAAAAGCTGACGATACTCCAGAGGTTTAAGAACAGGTAGGAGCACAATGACCAGTTCTCATTGCTGGGTAAGCCCAAAACTCTGCCTGAGTCTGGACACACTCATACTGAGAAGCTGCAGAAGTAACAGATAAATCACCTCAGTAGACAACTGGGACAAGCAGTCCGCTGCATGTTAGATGTCGATATTTCACAATCTACTCAACACACTGCAACATGCCAAACTCATAAGGTAGAAAAGACTAAGTAGCATTTTACAGTGTTTTATCATCTCTGTCATGACATTAAAAGCAAATAGGTACCATACAATCTATGGTGCTATAGAAAAGTCAGCATGTAAGCACAGGTGAAAAAAAAAGAAGGGGATTTTGCTGTCAGTTTAAATGCTGCTATGTAATATGTATATGTTTGCTAAAAAACAAACAAACATCAACAACAACAAAAAACACCACCACCAACAAAACAACAAAACACTTTTCATGCTTTAGTAAGTAACAGCCAGTTAGACCATCACCATGAACCAAGCAACAGCAACAGATGTGAATATTAAAGGTATTGCTGTCAAAATAGCTGTATGACAGTCAATTTCACAGGATAGTTGAATTGGACATACTGAAAAGAGAAGAGAAAAAGCCATGCTTTCTCTCTTTCCTTACATAGATAAGCTTCAGGGCACCAGAAGAAGGAACAAAGATAGCATGTTGTCCTAGTCCTGAGTCCTCCTCCCACTGACCTAAATGCAAATTCCCCACACCTCATATTACACAGAGAGGCTATGCATGTGTGAAAACGGTGAAACAGCAAGGGATGATTTTCCCACAGCTCTGAACCTCAGAATTGCATTGTGGTAAACATCTCCCACAAGAAAAAGGCATCCTGTATTTTCTGAATCATAAAAAAAAAAAAAAAAGTCCCATACCTAGGGACCTAAGTGAATTAACTGTATGCATCAAAAGCCAGAGCCTGGCCCTGATAAGGCTGATTTGCATTTAGTTTAACAGCAGTTGGGGATTCACAGTGTAAGAGAATTCCCCATGATACAAAGGCACAGGGACATTTCCATATTTGCTTCTTTCCATCCATTTCTTTAGTGCTGAGGCTACTCTAATTGGCACCAGAAATGTTCTGTTTCTGTGATTTCCTCGATAGGCTTCAGAATAGACTGGCCCTTCACAATTCTGAGAGCTGAGGGAACAGAGATACATCAAGTCTTAGTCGGCCAGCCTCATCTCCTGCTGAATTGATACAACTGCTGGTAGATCTGGAAGTTGCATCATAACACTTGCTGGCTGTACCACTTTTTTTCAAAAAAGACAAACCAACTTAAATAATTGTAAAGAAAATAATGAGGCTGAGTCATCTTCTGCTTATGAAACTAAAAAGTCTATTCTAATTGTAAAAATCCTGATCTCCCTGCAATGTATGCTCCACAATATAGGTTACTACACATACCCTACACCATAATTTGAGAACTTCTGACTACCCTGTGGCCTAACCTTGAGTTACAACATCTGAACTCTTATCTTACCCAGGCTTTGCTACAGAGCTAGCACATGGTTTGGGGCAAACCAGTCTTCCTACAGCATAGTCCCTCTCTGTAAAACTACAGTAATAGTATCTATTCTGAGATTTTAAGATAACACTCTCACTTTTTAGATTGCAATAACAGCATGCACAAAAGCCTCCACATGGTAACTTAGAAAATCTGTCACAACACACCAACTTTTCAACTTCAGAGAATTCATTCTACCATTTTAAAAAACGATGCCTTATTAAGTGGAAATATAAAATCACATATTATGTCATTTAACAATGTGCTATCCTCCCTCATTTCACTTATTATTACCATAAATTAAATAATTGACCTATATGAGAATATAGGTGCCATACTAAATTCAATGTATAGTGCCCAATGCTTTTGATTTTACCTCCCATTCCCAAAACAACGGTGGCATGCAGTCCTATTGAATAATACAGATGCATTGTGTGAACTCTGTTGTCTGCATTATGTTTAGTTATCCCTTATAAATATATTAAATAGAATAATGTCTTGTTTAAACCTAATAAATCTTTTTTTTCCTTTAAGCTCAAAACCACTAAAAATCTTTACCTACAAAACCAAGTTCAAAGAAATTCTTGAGTAGGCATATGACACATTTGATTTGAATAGCTTTAAAAGCTCAACTGATTTAATCAAACTGCAACTTAGTGTTCAAATTATTTCCCTAATAACTCTCCTCCAAATAGGTAGCTTACCAAAAAGTACTACTTTTAAAGTTAAACAAGTGTATTAATTCTAAAGTTTAGTAAGCTCATAAAAACCTGTAAGGTATTTTAGCATCATCAATAATTCCATTTTATCTTAGAATATAAAAGAAGAAGAAAGCCAATTTAAGAAAAAAATGTAATTAACACCATCGGAAAGGCATTAGACTCGCTCTACCTGGGCAGCTCCTGTGATCATATTTGGAATGAAGTCTTTGTGGCCTGGAGCATCCATCAATGTAATTACTTTAGTCTTTGTCTCAAATTTGGTCATGCCCACATCCATTGTTACTCCCCTTAAACAAAGCATACACGTAACACCATTAGTAATGTTTTTGAAAGCTTCAGAGATACAAATTAAGTTATGATAAAAACAATAATGAAATTTTACATGTTACAGCTTTCATTTGATTCAGCCTGCACCAAAAATGTTGAAAGAAACTTGCTTGCTGGAAAAGACCTTTAGAGCTGTTTTGAGTAATTCTAGTCACAAAGAAACAAAAAAAGTCAAGCAAAAATACCAACTCAGAGACTTTTTCCCATAAAAATGACAATTTATCTTCTGCAGTGAAGTCTGGATCTTAAATGCATAATTGACAGATACTAAAAAAAAAAAAAATCATAGATAACTGGATGCAAGTGTTAAGGCTCATCACAGTATCTCCACAAACACCACCACCCATAGTTAATAAAATACCAAAAATTAATTACACGCCTTAACTGATATCATGCTACTTCTAAAGATTATGTTTAGTTGCCTCTGGATCTTCAAATAAATAAAATAATTTATAATATATTAGGATAAATTTGATATTCAATATAATCCAAGTCACGTGTGAACCAAAATTTCAGTGCTTAATTTACACTTCTGACACCCTTTTATACAAACATTTTAATACATACAGCATACAGAAATAACCAAGATGAGAAAAAGTTGGCAGAAATAAACTGTTCTAAATGAACTGGTCTAAACAGCCCTAAATGAACATGGCTACTACAAGCATTTGTACATTGTAGTTATTCTCTGCACTTCCCAGCACCGAAATATGTGAAGTAATACTCAATTTCTTGTACATATTTGTGTACCAAACCAGGATATTATTTTTCTTTTGATAATGCATACTTAGACAAAGCAAAATATTTGCTAGTAAGCGTTAAGTAAATATCTTTATGCATTTTGAATATTTCTACCAAAGCATTATTAGTAGATATGCTTTTCTTTCAGAAGAGCGATGATAATTCCCATTAAATATATTTCTACCTTTCTCTTTCTTCCCCAGTTTCATCCAGGACCCATGCATAAGCAAACGAAGCTTTGCCAGCCTTCTTAGATTCCTGTTCGTATTTGTGCATAGTTCTTTTGTTCACATTTCCCAAAAGGTAGAGTAGATGACCCATTAAAGTACTTTTACCTGCATCAACATGTCCTATGGAGGAAAATAAAATTTATATCAATTTAACTAATTTACAAATTATAAATGTACAACATGAAAATAAATAAATAAGTAAATAAAAACAGATGCAAATCACATACACCAATAATGCTCATGTAATCCGTAAGATTTTGACTCACTGACAGTTTACTGAAACAGGTAATTAGCGCGATAGCCATGTACCACATTCAAATCCATGCTAAAAAGAATTGTAGGAATGAAATCAAACCCAACTAGTAGTCTGTCAAAACCAAGGTATGTCAACCTCACAGTCTAGCCAAGTCTGAATGTACACTCTCCACATAACAATGGTCAAACAGATGGAATTGAAAACAGTATAAGATTTCTCTTTCCTAAAGAGAGGATATTTTCGTTTCTTTATCACTTCCAGATTCAATCAATGGAGTTTTTAAATCTCTATGCCTAAAATGTAATTAACTGTATTACCTATTACCACCAAATTTAGTAGTTGCTTTCCTCCTTGTCTCTTCTCCAACTCTGCTTTCACATCTATTTGTGGTTTTGTCTTGCTCGTCTTTTTTACTGGAGTAGGCACGGCATTCTGCTCTTCTGAAACCTGCGCTACTTGGGGTGAAAGAGCAGATTTTGAGACTGCCTCAATTACCCCAGAAGTTATGCTAGCATCTTCATTTAGCAGTCCTTTTTGAGGTGTGTTAGCATGGCCATTTTCTTCAGCAATCATGCTGGGAAAATAAAACAAAGGAACAGTGAATGCAAATGTTAAAGAAGCTGCAGAAATACAGGAGAAAAATGGAGTTCTCCTTACACTATCACAAAAGCCCCAGACAAATATTATCTGATAAGTAGAAACAAGCCCATTAAGGTGGAAGTGATAAGCAACTGGATGCAAACTACACAGATACCAGCTCTGAACATCTTGCAAGAGACGTACTGTGTACATAAACAAGATAAGAAATAATCTTGTTAAATTCATGAAACTCATAAACAAAAGCTTCTCACAGCCACTTCTTTTGACAGGGAGAGAAATGATGAACTACCATAGACATGGTTGTCTCTGAAGTAAGAGCCCAAGTCAGCTTTGAAGCATCCTAAAACAGCTTTCACTTAAATTAAAAGTACTGCAGCTAAATGCAGTGATATTCTACTGAGAGAATACCAGCAATACAAAGAGTACATACTAAGCGTAAGTATATACTTAGATACTAAGAGCTGAAACTTAAGGAGCAATGTTTGCATACAGCCATAACAGATATGCCACATATCAACACTGAGAAAACCTGTTTTATGTACAAAACAAGGCATCTAGAACTACAGATATTTAGATTTCCCAACTCACCTTCTCTTCCACTCTGTTCTACCACAAATTACTATACTAACGCTAATACTAAACACCTTGAACGCATTATTCTCCTATTATCACAGAATCACACAATCACAGAATTTCTAGGTTGGACGAGACCTCAAGGTCATCGAGTCCAACCTCTGACCTAATACTAACAGTCCCCACTAAACCCTAAGCTCCACATCTAAACGTCTTTTGAAGACTTCCAGTGATGGTGACTCCACCACCTCCCTGGGCAGCCTGTTCCAGTGCCTAACAACCCTTTCAGTAAAGAAGTTCTTCCTAACAGTCTAACCTAAAACTCCCCTGGGGCAACTTTAGCCCATTCCCCCTCGTCCTGTCACCAGGCACGTGGGAGAACAGGTCAACCCCCACCTCTCTACAGCCTCCTTTAAGGTATCTGTAGAGAGCGATAAGGTCGCCCCTGAGCCTCCTCTTCTCCAGGCTGAACAAGCCCAGCTCCCTCAGCCGCTCCTCGTAGGACTTGTTCTCCAGACCCCTCACCAGCTCCGTCGCCCTTCTCTGGACTCACTCAAGCACCTCGATGTCCTTCTTGTAGCGAGGGGCCCAAAACTGAACACAGTACTCGAGGTGCGGCCTCACCAGAGCCGAGTACAGGGGGACGATCACCTCCCTAGCCCTGCTGGTCCACACTGTTTCTGATACAAGCCAGGATGCCGTTGGCCTTCTTGGCCACCTGAGCACACTGCTGGCTCATATTCAGCCGACTGTCCACCATCACTCCCAGGTCCTTCTCTGCCTGGCAGCTCTCCAACCATTATTCTCACACTCTTTCTCTCCCATTTATAAATAAGGTTATTTTCATAATTCACGTACATGTTCTGAGGATATATGATTTTTTTTAATGTGTTATGGCAAAGATGACCACTAAAAGCAAAACCTAAATAACATCCTCAAGACAGCAAAAGCTTTCTTAGTGGCTGACAGAGCTCCATGGTGAGTCATTAATGTGTACAGCAAGACAGAAACAGAAGCAGCTACTACAGGCATCAGAACATGTTATGGCAAGCTTTAACACACAAACCACTGGCCATTCCAGTATTTTGAAAGTTTTTCTAAAAATTCTTCTACATGAAGCCTCCTACAAAACAAACAAAAACAAACAAACAAAAAAAAAAAAACAAAACAAAACAAAACAAAACAAAAAAAACAAAAAAACCTTCCTCCTCTGGAAAACTGGAACCCTTTTCAACGCAGTACCACTGTGGTGCAGGCTACTTTCTATGGAAATGATTCAAGCAGTCTTTCAGAGAGCTACCAAAAGGAAACAGGACTGTCTTCAAGTCCAGAGTGAATTTTTCACTCTCCGCTTTCCATTTACATACCACAGTTAACTTCACAGTTTTCCTCTTTTCAATTTTTATAACCAAAACTACTTATTTTGGTATATCAGAATCCCATCTCATAGAATCTTCATTTGATAATACAGACAGAAAGTGAATAGTAATGTTGCATTGTATCAGCCTTCATAGGAATATTTGCATTGTATTAGTCCCTTTCCATTTCCTGAATCTCAGAAAACAAAGAAGTCCAACCATGTCAGCCTACTGAACAAAGCAGTTCATGAGTTACAATCTAAAACATTAAACCTAGGAAATATTCAGATCTAATGCAAGTTTAGCCTCTCTACTACCAGGAACCAGTGCTGGTCATTTTATAAGGCCTCCCTTTTTTAACTCAGTTTCAGAACCTACCTAAATATCTGGTACTGTGGCAGAATGATTAGTTTTGACATCTTTTTTGTAAGGCCCAAACCCAAGTCTTTGCTCTAGATCGTGAGACCCCAAAGCAGAAATGTGAACACTGGTTTCTTGGCTACAGTTCCACAATCCAAGGTTGAAATCTTGCATCAAGGGTGGACACACAACCACAATTTTCTTAAATTAGCTACACATCAAATTTAATTAGTGCCAGCCATGATGGTTGCAGGGGATGGTTAGTACCTGTGCTGCTGCATAGTGGATGTACAATTCTGTATAAAGTTTATTTACATAAAGTTACCCTATCAACATTTTCTAAGCCTTTTAAGGGAAAACAAGTCAATATCAATCTACACCTTCGGTCACACAGTCGTGACACTTTTGATTTGACACTCAGAAACCAGTTGTACTGTGCCATCAAGCATAGCCTTTGACAAGCTCCCATATATAATATTGCACATTGACAAGCTGAATGCACTTTATAAGAGGATATACTTAAATTCCTAAACTTCCCAAATTAGTGACTCATCATTGTCTTACATGCAGTTATGGGAAAGAGGCAATTACAAGGAAAATTTTTCCAAGGAAAATAGTCACTAGTTGCTCATGCATTCTTTTACTGGTAAAATAAAAGTGCATTTCTATCAGTCTGAACAGAAGTCTCTTTTTTTAAATTCCATTAAGTTCAAGCTAAAAATCTACTGTGGAATGGCACGACAATTATTTTATCCAATGTTTCTACACAGACATTTTACTTCATAAAAACTGACTGAAAACAATCAAGTTGATAGAAAGCAATATGCATACAATTGCAGTGACAGAGCTTTCTACATATTCTAGCAACATATTTAAAAGCACCTACATTATATAGAGCACACCAGACCAGTTTGTCCTGAACCATGTATTAAGAAAACCTAATATAGTTAAAATTCAGTTGTGTTAGAAGTCTTACCAGCTGTGATCGAAGTTTTACATCAAGACTCATTTTTTTTTCCCCCAGACACCCTTCAGTTCACTGTCAGCATAACATCTATCACTTTCACACTGAAACACACTTTCACACTGAAACACTATTGTTATATGCAAAAGTCATACTGTAATACAAGTATGATATTTTATATCAATATCAGTTATTTTTCCTTGAAATTCCAACATTTTAAGTTCTAGAGAGAAGCATCTGTATAAGAAGCAATATCAAAACAGCCATTGCATTTGTCAGTCCCTTCTCTCCTTTTCAATGTCTGCATTACTTCTAAAACCAAATTTTCAAAAATGAAAAAAATTAAAAGGAAGACATTTAGATGAAACTGCAAATAATGTAACCCAAAACTCTGTTTTCCCTATACCTTTCAAAATACATTAAAGACAGTCACATAAAGCCTCATAAAAGATGAAAATGTATTTTGAAAGATAGGTTATCAGTAAGCTTCTAAATTATATTTGTTTAACTAATATTTTTTTCTAGTCTCAGATGCTAAGATCCTGTAAGCCTAGGTCAGGAAGGATTCCAAAAAAACAAGTTTGAATGGCAACATTCAAACTAAAGACATCAAAGAAACAAGGCCTGATGAAACAACTATTCTCTTACTAACAAGTACCTTCTGGTGTGATTAACACTGCTAAATACTGTCAAATAGTTTTCATTTGGGTGCTTCAGAGAAAGTGCTAGACATACGAGTAAAATAATGAGTGAAACATGACTCTAGCTGTCATGACATTAGGCCTTGCTAGTAGACCGCTCCATTTAGACTTCTACAGGTTTCAGATATCACCATGTTCTAGAAACCTGAAAAAAACTGTTCCATGCTAATGCAAGTCTCATTGTTTCTGAAGAGAAACATCAGAATGGAGAGAGTGTATGATGTACTTCTACACCATCTCAGCTTTTTGCTGAGCTGTGTTGGGGAAAAGAAGAGGGTGTTTATTACCGGATACCTGAACAGGAAGATGCACAGGTGAAACATACAATTCACATCTCACAGAAGCACATGCAGTTAGATGCAGGAAAAAAGACTTTGATATGGCAACTAGATAAGTAATTTATCGAAAGCTTGATAACAACTAACAGAAGTTCAGAAAAATGCTAAGAAGCTTTGCTTCTAACAGTCTAAAGAATGAATGACATGGAAAATTCTTTTCAGGCTTTCCCATTGAGATTTTTCAAAATTAGTTAATTGAAAATTTGTCAAAAGACAGAGCATATAAGAGAGCACTCTAGTATGTGATACGTTGCTACTGCAGGCAGTTGAGGGTATAAAATAAGGGCCAAATGTATTAGCAAACATCTTTGGTAGCCAAGTTCCAATGTGGTCTGAATTATGTTGAACCACCATACCAGGATAAATTTCTACTTGGAGGAGGAGCAATTCCTAGCCAATTGCTTGCATCTTTGTATACAAACTTGTTCAAACTGCCAAGAGCAGATTTGGTTTGCCAACATCCGTGCCTTTCTGCCACATCACTACTAGCTCACTAATGTGGAGCCATTAAACTGATTAACTCTGTACTTCTTTGAACTAACAGAACAATTAAGCACCTCTACTTACACTGAGCTCATGTACTACAGTAGGCTTGACCACCAGCAATTCAGTCACAGATGTCAAAAGCACTTACTGAAGCTTTTTGTTAGCAAATCAGAAGACATACAGAAGCCTGGCAAGGATTACTATTTAGTTGAAATTAGAACTGCCAGGCTAGAAACATCCTATGTTGTCTTGCCAAGATAGACAGTAAGAGTAAACTGAGTAAAATACTATGGTTACACTGTTTTCTGGGAACAGTAAGAAACACTGAAATACAACATATGCTGTTAAAAGGCATATTTTAAAAGGACTCTAATCCTCATACAACTGTGTTTACTGAGGTTCACACAACCAGGCATTCAAAGAAGAACCTGAAAGTTTATCTTCTGAAGATTAACTCTGCATAATTTAGGTTTTAAACATTATTTTCAATCTTCTAGTCTGGATGCTTAGTGAATTATTTTTATGCAACCGACTCTTTCGGAGTACTTATAGTCATTACAGGAATGTCTACATTTATTTCCCCTTTCAAAATTATTAATTACACAATATTGGTCAGGCTGGTTAAAATAATCACCCCTTTTTGCTCACAACCTTTTCTTGTTTCCTTCGTGATTTAACAAGAAGAAAAAGCTTGGTAATTAGTTTTGCTAGAGCACCAGAAAGGCAGCTTGTCAGAAACAAGCAAACTCCATTTTCCAGAGACAATTCTATTAAGAACACACGGCAAAAGCAATCAATGCTCAAAGCAATTCATGACTTCTAATAATCCATTTACGTAACAATAACTGAATCTTCATTAAAATGAGATCATGCCTCATAACAAGATCTAACCATGAAGACTGAGTAGCTAGTCAAAGAATGTTTACTTCTGCTAATGCTAGGCCAGTGGTTTTAAAAACATTGTCCAAGAATCATGTTTAAGATCCCTTAACAGGTGATAACAAAAATTAATTCATACATGCTGTACAATCACCTTCAATGGTGTCTGCACCAACACCACACGAACATTCAGGAATGTGAGCAGGGGGCATAAACTGCAAAGGTTGATAAATTACAGGTGTTTTAGAATTTAGATTTTACCAAAACTGCTATGAGCACTGAGCTTTTGGTGAGTGAAACAAAACTATGTACTTAGAAATCTGTATTATTACAAACCCTTCACAGTACACTTATCAATGCATAAGTAACATGAAGAGAGTTTGAAAAGAATTAAAAGAAAGAGAGTCTCTTAGGCATTAATAAACAAATTCACTGTGTTCCCTGACAACTCATCCTCATGTAAACCGTCAATAATCCAGAAGATAAATGCAGAAGAAAAAAGCACTGACACTCATGGAATTGGGACAGGGAGAAATATCGTGTATGTGTTGTCCCCCATATCATGTCTCCCCGCCCCATTTGTTTCCTTGTTTTATTAGTTTATAAGTGGATGAATAAAAGCTATAAAGCCATTACAAGCTTGCAAGACAATGCTAGCGCTTCATGTAACTTCAGTATAATATTTAGCACAGACTTTATACATAAACTAGACAGGAGCTAGTCAAATTTCATCTGTTAGGAAAGGAATGAAACAGAGCAAATTAGACTGTCCTGGAGCAGAGAAGGAAAAATAAGATACAAGTATGGTCAAGGCCTCCTTCCCCAGTTCTTCATGTCAAAGTCCTAGTGACTTGATAGTGCCTCTGGAGGCCTATAATCAGTCAAAGAAAGGAGGCCATAACAGTTTCCTTGAAGCATGGGTCTTTACGCATGCAGGTAACTTCACAATTTCAGCTGGGCTTTCTTTCCTAGCCACTGGTTATACTCCAAATCTTATTCTCTTCTCTTCCAAACCACTCCATTCCTATTTGTTCTAGCTTAAAAATAAATGCCTAATGTCAATACAATTTCTACAAGAAGAGAGGTTTCTTCTTACTTAGCAGTACTGCTGAAACAAGCGAGGAGAATTAAACACTTTTTGTCACAAAAAAGACCATGTCACTACAATAGAAGCAAGCATGATACAAACTGTTTCTAGGTCCATGAAGAGAAGTAGAGTGGTTGAGAGCCATGTTAGAAACAACTACTTTCCCTCAAAGACTGAGTCACCATTAGCATATCCAGGAATTATTCCAGCCTGCAAAGGAAAAAGCATTCTTCTCATTTCATCCTTCCCTATGGAGCACACACACACAAGGTGTGGCAGTCACTAATCAGTAACAGAGATACAAAATTTTGGACTTCTATATAAATACCTTAAATAGTTATTATTACAGCTAAAAAAACGTAATCAATATAATCCCTAGTGATCTTATGAAGGACTAATTGGCAGATCCTTTTCACTCCCTTCATGACTCCTTTCTTTTTATAAAATTTCATGTAAGTCATTGTAATCCACACAAGTCACCATAAAGAAAAACAACTCCATTTTGTAAGAGGTGTAATAGGAACACAAAAGATGAAGATTACATTAAGTTCACAGGAATTTAATGATCAAGTCCAGTTGTCACACCCAGAGTCACTAATTAGCAGAGATGAGGAGGGGAGAAAAAAAGAAAACAAAACAAAACAAAACATTGTGTTCTCTCTCTGCATTTCAGATCTCAAATAGCACAGAAAGAATTATGAAAGTCCCAGGAATTCTTCATTTAGTTTATTGCATCTAAGTAGCTAAGAGACATCCTTTCATTCATCAATTGCATTTAGAAGTTTTAAGAAAATAATGACATCAGTCTTACATCCTTGTATTAAATGCACTGAAGAGACTATGTAGATGCATCATAATGCTTTCCACATAGTTTCACCAAACATGCACAAGATACTGTAAAGTAAAGACCATGCTATCCCTCTTGCTCCCAAAAATGCTTTCCAGATCAGAACTGCAAGCAGTGCAGGCTGAGGCAAGGATGATGGCAATGCTCATGCTTACAATTTTTTTTTTCCTGAGCATAACTATGGAATTTCTTGCCACAGAGTAGCAAGATTGTGCCCAAAACCAGAATAAGCACATCCAAACAAGAAAAATCCATTAGCCATTGTTAGCTGAAACCAGACCAGACCAGACAATGCCAGACCAGACCAATGCATAAGAAGCGGTGGGGCACAGAATGCTTCATGCAGTGACGTTTCATAGAATGTATTCCCAACATGCTTAACATGTCCTTATACATTTATTTAAGCATTGCATCTACTGATGTAGATGGACTCTGATCCAGCATGTCTGTTTTCATGCTCTTACAAGAGCATCCCCCCAACAGTTCCAAGTTAGGGTAAAATTAGAACTACTACTCAACTACGCTATTCTTCTCTATAACAGTTGTACCCCGAACACCTGTTAAAGTTAATAAAAGCTGCAGAGGAAGGCAAAGTTTAGCTATAAGTGATTATTTTCCCCATAAATTATTCTTAAATGTATTACTTCCTTTGAAGAACAAGCATTTGCAGTTAAGATTTATTGATTTCATAATTCCACTTAGAGAACTAAATTTAAAATAAACGAACCCCAAGAAAGTTCAGTATTCTATGAAGCGGATGTTTAAATAATCTGACTAGCTGATATCTCTCTGCACTATTCATAGTGAAAGGATTTGTTAAACTCAAAACGTGAGGTACCATCTTCTGAAAGTAATTGTGAGTCAAACAAGAAGCTGAGATGGTTAGTTCTGGAGAGTGACACTAAAACTGCTGTAAAAATAGAAAAAAAGAAGAAGAAAGCTTGCTACAGGTGCATCAGTCTGAAAGAAGGGCTGCTGATGTACCTTGATGTATGAGGGCTTTGGCTTACCATGGAACTTCAAATCCCATAGACTGTTTCTTTCCAGACACTGTCATTTTGGTAACTTTTGGCACAATTTCAGATTCCATTCTGGCTGACTGGGAATCCCTTGATTTTCCTAGTAATAGACAAAAATAAGTTTGAACTTAATGTTGTGACTAACAGGTGTTAAATATAAAGCTTAACAAGTTACATTCCTTTTCATCAACCCAAAGATAGCAGTCTGTGATAAAGATGAAGTCTCACACTTCAGTCTTTTACTTTTATCTGTTACATATTTATTCAAATTAATCCACAAACATTTGTATTTATTGTGAAAATCTTATCAGTATCTCCAAGGATTGGCTTGACACCCACACCATTTAAGAGCTTTGCTATTTTGATAGCAGTTCTGCAGAATGCCAGAAGTATTTTATACAAGGATGAAGAAACGCTTTGCAGCTGCTCACCAGCTGATTAAGCTAATTCTTATTTACAGGTTTTCTTTTGCCTTAACATTGGCAAGCCTCAAGGGTACAAGTTTAAACCAATAAGAAAAAAAAAAGGAACACAACACTAGTCTACCTGAGGTACTGCTAACAGCAGCACAAGCTACCAGGCCTTTCCTGAGACCTGTGACCAGAGTTGTCTCCTACCTAGTCACGTCAAAGAAGCCAAGAAATACCCAAACTAGCTATGTATTTACCATGGGGAAGAGTAGTATAAATAAAAGTAGTAAACTAGCTCTTTTCTTTCCATGACCCCCTCTTTAATATGTTAAATAATTCCCTTCTCCCCTTCTCTATGGGAAAATACTTCCAACTTTATACAGTATGAGTGACAATGACTGTATCTTGTGTTCTGAAGGACATTATATACACAGAGAAGCAAAAACAATAACCTGAATTCAGAATTAAACTGAAAGTTTGAAATAATCTTTACCTACTGATGCATCTGAAAATATGCTGATACTCTTCAAGTAATACCCTGATTCTGAATACTCACCAACAAGTAAGGACTTATTTTGAAGAACAAGTTAATTTTTATTTATTTAATTTAAATTATTTTAGATTCCTACTGTAAGATGAACTGTTGGAGTCATTTGGTCTTACTCATACAGATGAACTCTTTATTGCACTCTAAATCATGACAGCTACACCTTTAAAACCTCATGCTCATAGTGCTTTGCAGGTTATATACAAAGTTGTGGTCAAGCCTGTTGAAGGTACAGAAACATACCAGAGACATGTCTACAACATATAGCACACCAAAAAAGCTGTTGTGCAACTTTTTTTAGTTTATTTACTTTGGTCATCACCTCCTTCATTTATCTTATCTGTTGATACTTACTTTAGTTATAAAATGCCTAGAGATCTCTGGAAGAAGTACTTTGTATGCGTATTATTAATAGTTACATACCAATTATACTAAATAAAGAAAAAAAGTAACAAGGAAATAAAGGCAATACCACAAATGATGGTTAACAACAATTACATATTATAAAACGGCCAAACAAGTCATAACGATTCAGGATAAAAAATTCTCACATTAAAGGACAAGGACTACCAGTTAAACAAAGATTTTGTTTCACATTCAAGCTTCTACACAGGTCACCTTTACCTATTTTTGAATGAGAAGTTACTCACATGAGTTACAGAAAAAAAAAGGCATTACTTTTGTTGCCAGCTTGGTATCTTTTCTTCTTACTTCAATTCTAACAATTTCCAAGCAGACATCACCTTCAACTACCAGTTAAACATGAATGTTTTACAAGTCATTTGAAAGCTGAATGACAGTCAGTTCTCAGAAAATACCGCGTCTTAAGTCTGGCTGCTAGGAATTCAAAATTGCAAAAAAAAACAAAAAAACAACACATAGTGAACATGAACTTAGATTAGTTGAAAGAAAACAAGATAACAATTGTTATCATGTACCCTGTGTATAACTTGCAATTTATTTGCAAAATTTGCTACATTTGATCTAAAATCAAAAGTCACTGAACACAAAAAAAATACATATTATCTTGTAAATACAGAAATTAAGCTCTGATCTGTACAACTGTCGGGGTGTTTGAGACTGATCCAAACTAAATGTACAAGGAGATGAAATACATTTAATGAATCTAGAATTTGACTTCCATTTCAGAAGTACTACGCTATTCACTCTCTAGATAAAATCTAGAAGACCAGACGACTCATTAAAACTGCATCACTGAGACAGCATAATTCTGTCATAAGACAATGTAATTCTTCAGTTTGCAGTGAGCATTTTAAATTATGAACCCTCAGGAAATATTTTGTCGTATCAATGAAGTGATGCTGTTAGGAGAGAAGGTTCCATATGCGAAACACTTAACATGGCTAGGAAAACAGGGTTGAGCAGAAACAACTGAAGACTAAAACACATGATGCGACAAATGAAATCACAGAAATCTAAAACTAGAGAAAAAGGAATAAAACCAGAGGAAAAAAATAGGAAACACTAAAAAAGGTGAACAAACATTTAAAAAATAAAAGTACAAAGAACAAGAGAAAGTAAAATAATTGTCCACTGACAGCACAAAACAGTTTGTTGCTGTCTAGAGATGAAAAAAAAACCAAAAAACAAAAAACACCACTTAGATCAGTATAGGTGGATTGAAGAAGAAAACCGGGATTGTATATAAGGGCAAACCAACCCACAGAAGATAACTGTGGAAAGGCTGCACTCAAACAGATGCAACAACCATGTTGCAAACAAGAATCATTAGTAATACTACTGACAGAAGCATCAACTCCAGTGTTTTTATAACCAAGTACAATAAAATCAAACAGTTCATTTGAGATAAGGACCAACCTTCATTTTTGTACTGCAGGTGCCATTAAAGATTAATAATTACGAGCTTCAGTACGAAGGACAGAAGCCCAGGAAAGGAGTATACTTTACTATCTAATCTATAGGGCATTGGAGAAAACTGCATGATAAATGCTTATCTGCTTTAGCAGACAAAGCAAAAACTATTCAACACTTAAAAGATCAAAAGCAAATCCTTACATTGCACCTTGGAACTAAAAGGAAGTCAATGCACAATGCTGATACAATTCTTAAGAGAAACACTTCTGAATAAGCAAGCAGAGTATCCTATAGCAATTGAGGTCTGCTAAAACCCTGAAAAAAGCATAGGAGTGGTAATCCCAATCCGATTAGGAAAAGAGCAGCTGCAAGGAAATCAGCCTCTGAGGGGAAAGGATATAAACTTGCCTAGAAAGTCTTGATAAACATTCTTCATGCATTGTGCAATTTGGACCTTCTTAAGTGCAAATGCAAGCAACTAAACAGCAATATTTCCTACACCAAGAGTGCATAAGAAATGGAGAGATACTGACTTTTGCATATTTAATAAACTACTAAAGAATCCCCAATTCCTCCTTGCTACGCTTCACTTTAGCTTTACAAAAAGCAAAAATTAGAGTGAATCATTCATAAATTACAAAAATACAAAGGCTATATATCAGCATGACAGTTACCACAACTCAGAATGATTAAAAATCCAGTGTATTTTAATATTTTAAGCAAAGTAGTTTTCAGACAGATACTTGCTGTTGAAGACTACATTGACATCACTGCACCTGTATACTGTAGCTACAATTCAAAACAGTAACGCAAAGCAGAATATGCATTGATGCACTTTGCCTCACTGTCAAATGAGGATGAGCTCAATACAAAATGTAACAGAAAGACCTGCACTGAAGTTACTCCAGTCTCACTATGGCAGTGTGTGACAACTTAACAACCAAATATCTTTTCTCTTTCTTCTCTTTGCTTCTCCCTTCCGTGTGACTGCTCTGTGGTCTTCCCACTGATGATCCTTTTGATTTGCTCAAAAAATATTACTAGTGACACCTTCTGCAACTTCAAACTAAAAGTGACAACTATTGTGACTGCAATTAAAAGTACAACCCTAAAACCTGATGGCAAAGTAAAGTATTTGCAGTCTGAAAAACAGGAGGCAGATACATATACACAGGAACCAAGTGAAACATCAGAACATCTCGTGTGTGTTCATAGTAGAAAAGCAAAAGCGCATGGATAAAGTCAACCATCTTCCTCTACCATAAGCAACTCCCCAAATTCTGGGCTTCCTCTGTAAAAAAATGTTTGTAAAGATTACCTGTAAAAAACAAGCCAACAGATTACTTCAGCTTCTTTATCACATATAATAGGCTTGAGCTTTTTTCAGTTTTTATTTGTTTACTTACTTTGAAAGTAACAGGAAGGTAAATACTGGTCTTTAACTCTGCTGGAGGTATGGAGGAGTTACTTTTCACTATTGTCGATTAGTCGATTATTGGTCTACTCTGTTCCCAGGTAAATTAGAAGTGCAGAAAAACACCACAAGTTTGCTAAACAGCTGCCATCTCACCTAAGTATTGTTGATGCCAAGTGAAGTGGGGAGCAAAAAGTGTTTATACTGGTAAATTTGGAGAAATGAACACTAGTATTGTGTCTAAAACCACACTGTCTTAGTTCAGATGACAATGAAACAATGTCGTCATTTTCAATTCCTAAGCACAGGGACTGGTCCTCACAACTTGGCTTCCCTTTATTAAATTATAAAATTTATACAATGTAATTTTTGTATACAAAAATTGAAAATTATACAGTTTTCAATGGCACTGAAACGCTAAACTCAACTTTATCATTACACAGAGAATCCTTCTTAAGAGAAAATAAACTAGAATTTTCATTATTTCTAAATAAAACAAAACAACCAAAAACACACACACACAAAAGGAATAAAATAACATGGTGTTAGGCATGCCTGAAGCCTATGCCTTCTCAGATGGCAATTCCTTTAAATGAATACAGGTCTACTCATCCAATCTGCAGTTAATACTTTGCGCTTTTAATTTTGCTTTGGTTCATTGTTTATGGGTTTTTAAAACTTTATTTCCGCAATTCTGTTTCAGTATCTTTCATAACAGCTGCATTACTACAACTGGAAGAGTACTAAAGCACCAAGGGACAGGAACCTCTAAACCTAGCTTTACCAGGGAAAAAAGACAGTCCACCAAAAGAAAGTCCATGTACCAAACAACTAAAGGCAGCACTGGCAAAGGAGAGCACCATCAAAGGAGTTATGTATTAACTAATTGTGGC